CTGGCACGGTGGAGCAGTGGTTAGCACTGTTGTCTCACAGCAACAGGGTTCTTGGTTGAACCTTCCGTTCGCCTGGGGCCTATCTGGAGTTTGCATGTTCGCCATGTCCCTGTGTGGGTTCTCCTTGTCCAGGTACTCAGCATTCCTCCACAGCCCAAAGACATTACAGGCGTAAAAGGTTGACTGCCTCTCTGTGTTGGCCCTGGGACCCATCCAGGGTTTACCCTGCCTTGACCTGTGACAGCCGGGAAAGGCTGCTAGTCTCTGTGACCCTCAATTGTACCAGTGGGTTCATTCCACTGCAGGGCAACCTGCCACTGCATGTGGCGAATAAAATTTGAAATTTGCGTGGATAAAAAAAAAGCAGAAAAGACAACACCAGATGTTGCTCTTTCTGAGACAAACTGAGGAGCTATTGAAGCGTCTTTTGGGGAATTTCTGCTTTGTTTTTCATGAAATTTCTTTCCCCCTGAAATGAAGACCAACAGGCTGCACTTTGCAAAATGCAGCCAAATAGAGCTCATTTTGAAACCCTTACTATACATTTTGCGTGCTTGGAAAGCATCCAATCACGATCCAGGTGACAGTGAACCGCCATCGAGCTCATCCACTGATCAAAGCCTCTCCATTTTAGCTCAAAAGAGCACAGAGCTCAGGCTGTACCCAAGACTCGGGTACAGAGGCTCTTTTTTTTGCCCCCACCACCAAATAACAGGAATGCACATAAGAGCTTCCCCTCTTCCCTCCACCCCGCTACCCCTTTCATAACTCAGCTCTCATTTGGCGGTTTAATTAGGCTTTACCTTGTTTGAGGCTGCTGGAGCAAGAACTTCTGGGGAAGCATGTGAAAACAGGGGGGGTCACTTAACCCATTTGGCCGCAGAACTCTCTGGACCAAGTCTGCGGCTCAGTAGAGTCACAGAGCAGGTAATTAAACATAAAAATAGTTTTAGTTTTATGAGCTTAACTGGTCTTTCTCCTCCCCAAACTAACACTTTTGGGATGAAACAAAAGGCCAATCATCACCCAACAACTGCTGGACCACACTAATGCTCTTCACTCAATAAAATCCCTGCAGCCAGATGCAGATCCAGCTGTGCTTTCCCATAAGACTGGATATTGTCTTTTAATTTAAAATTTAAAACCACTTTAAAAAGAAAAATAATAATTAAACACCTTCAACATGTGATAAGCATTTTCTAAGCTAGGGCTCACAAACTGAATGTTTTGTATTGCCTTAAGCTAACCAGCGGGCTAGCTTAGAAGACACTGTTATTATTCTTCACCGCCTCAATGTTTCATCATCCTTGGAGTTTGTAGTTTTAAGCCTTTTTTAAATATAAGCTACGGCCAATGAGTTATAAAGAAACCTCTAAAAAGAAAAAAGTAAACTCAGCAAATGGTATGATTTTTTTTTGTTCAGCTAGTATCTGAAATCAAAGCTCTAGTTACAGTCGGCTAACCCAAAGTGAATGTAGTTAACAGGGATTACGTGTCCTACTGATGGCCTGTTATAATAGAAGAAATTACTAGAAGATAAGCCTGATGTCAAAAAGGAGAGACCTTTCTGATGCCACAAAGGTTCTGACCAGATACAAGCTGGGAAAATTGACCTAAACTGAACTTTTTTAAGTTTTCTTTGGTGAAATATCAGAAAACAGATCTGACATCCAGGCTATGAAAGCTTGTGTCTGTTCCTCTGTTGAAACTATGTTGAAACTATGTTGAAGCTACGTTGAAGCTACGTTGAAACTATGTTGAAGCTACGTTGAAGCTACGTTGAAACTATGTTGAAGCTACGTTGAAGCTACGTTGAAACTATGTTGAAACTATGTTGAAGCTACGTTGAAACTATGATCTATCCCACGATATTGATCAAATCTGAACAAACATGAGATTTAGATGAATTTGGATTTAGACTATAAAACTGATTTGCTTGCAGTTTTTGACAGTTCTTTTTACTTTTAGCTTAAAAGGGTTTTTTTGTGGTTCTCTGCCACACTTACAAAGTTGTGAGGGTTTCAAAAATATAGGGAAATGGTTGGTTCACCACATGTGAAGGAACATAATTCATAAAGTTCTCATAATATGAAACTAAAAATTGCATAAATTTAACAAATAAAGTTACTCTAAATTTAAAATACATCAGCTCATTGTGAGGGAGTCAGGTGGGAGGACTGATTGCTTTTCACAAGAAAGACGTGGCAAAGATCAACAACTTCAGTTTTTTA